CCAGTGTCCTACGATATCATGCCGTCTAATCCTTATGAACCCATCTCAAATCCTATCACGTCATTCTTCTCTCCCCATCTAATTTCTCATCTCATAACATATCATCTGATTCTTGTCGCTTCATGTAATATCACTCCATCCTACTTTAAATCATGATATCGTCTCTTTCATTTTATCGCATCTCATAACATAGGCCTATTATCATGTGATTCTTGTCAACTCATCTCAGGTCGGCTCCTCTCACTTACAGTATGTCTCCCCAGTCATGTAATATCATCTCGTTCTTCGATTCAATCTCATTTCGTACCCTTACCTTCTGATTTATGTCATCCTATCTCATATGTGAGGCAGCGTGGTGGAATCAGGCTCTCGTCAATTTTTGGGCACATAGAGTTATTGGTATCATCTTAAAGCTTGTTCACTTGTCTTTATTTGGAGGAAAAAAAATCCATTTATCTTAAATACAAGTCGAGATATTTGAGAATGAAGGAGGTGGGTGTCACTTGTTTTCAGAGGTAAAATTAGGGAGAAAATGGCCGCCAAAGATTGGTTATTTCCTTAGCTTAAGAGTCCGTGGTAACTGAAAATTTACATTTTTTGTGCCTTTAATCAACGTTTTTCAGAAAAAGAACACAGGAGTGAGTTCTTTAATGGACATGAAAGGTGTTGAGCCCAAAAACAAAAATTTGTTAAAAATTCACAAACCTGCGGAAAAATGCATGTTTCTTCACTTTGAATATTTTACCGAGAGCCTGATTCCACCACGCTGCCTCACATATTATATTATGGCATCTAGTTCATATCATGGCACCCCACGACATAATGTCACCCGATACATTCTTATCTCATCATCTCATTTATCTTCTCATTCATATTACCTCATCTCATATCGTATTCATTTATTTCATGTTTCATTCCCATATTATCTCTTTCATATTATGATCATGATCATGGCATCTCTTCTTCTCAACCTCAAGCATGAAATTATAATATCCGAGACAATGCACTATCCTGGCTGCAGCCCTTTGCTCTCAATCACCTGCTACCTTTAATAGAATTACTAAGTTCTATCTCACATTTCTGCCCGTTTTGAGTTACTATAAGACCATGAGGTCCGAAACCAAAACGATTCTATCCGCTCTATCAAAGTCGTAAGATTATTCGGAGTCGATATCAATATATTCAAAGAATTATTGCATTTTAAAAAGCTTAGCATAGTGAAACTCAAAATTTGTACATCAAATTTCTCAAAACTAGAGTCTAGGTGCTGAGCAGTTAGAACTTTGTAATTCTAGGGTAGTGAACCGTAAAAAACGTTGGTGCGAAGTGGGCGCACCATGGAAGTCCAAATGAGGGACTAAACAAAAGGAGTACCGGTATTGCTTTAGTCTCATGACCCTGGCATCTTTCCTCCCTTGTTTTTCATTTGTGAAACGTGCTGACAAAATGAGTTACTTCTTGGATTTGAGCCATATGGAAATAGATACATCACGCTTATAAGTTTTTAAAAAATACATAAGTATGAAATAATAACAGGCATATTACACTTAAAGAATATGGCATCAATAGAAAAATCTACAAATTTGGCCCTAGTGTTGATTTTTTTAAATATTTTTTTTGTTGCCAATATCTCCATTTGTAGATTGCGAGAAGTAACTCATTTTGTTAGCTCACCTCACATTTGGCTCCGAATTGCGTCAATTGTTGCGCTTCATAGTTCACCAAGCGTTATGTTAGAGTACACAATCTCGGATATCATAATAGGCTTACATTGTACGAGTCTTGGACCTCAGCTCCCTTGACCTGATCTGACCTGACCCCATCTCGTCTCGTCTCGTTCAGGCAACGTGGTCAATGTGGTGTGTGACTGTGGGGACAGGGCCTCTGGCAGGTACTGCACTGTCCCCGTTGACCCCTGCAAAAACTGCTTCAACGAGAGCTCTTGTAACAACACCCTGTCTGAAGATTACTGCCAGCCGTGTCCCAGCGGGTACGAAGGGGATGGTTTCGTATGCAGAGGTTGGTTTGTTTATACGTGAAGTTATTATTTTTCATAATAATAATAATAATAGATATAAGTCTGCCTCCTAAATTATCTGAATAGGCTTAATGGAGACGTAAAATAATTACATTAATGTTATTTCAACTCATTTGCATCCAATCATATTATCTTAATTTACCCTTTTTTGTCCTTACTAATATCTCATCCTCTCATTTTATTTTGAATCACCTCTATTCTTTTCATCACAACCAGTGTCCTACGATATCATGCCGTCTAATCCTTATGAACCCATCTCAAATCCTATCACGTCATTCTTCTCTCCCCATCTAATTTCTCATCTCATAACATATCATCTGATTCTTGTCGCTTCATGTAATATCACTCCATCCTACTTTAAATCATGATATCGTCTCTTTCATTTTATCGCATCTCATAACATAGGCCTATTATCATGTGATTCTTGTCAACTCATCTCAGGTCGGCTCCTCTCACTTACAGTATGTCTCCCCAGTCATGTAATATCATCTCGTTCTTCGATTCAATCTCATTTCGTACCCTTACCTTCTGATTTATGTCATCCTATCTCATATGTGAGGCAGCGTGGTGGAATCAGGCTCTCGTCAATTTTTGGGCACATAGAGTTATTGGTATCATCTTAAAACTTGTTCACTTGTCTTTATTTGGAGGAAAAAAAATCCGTTTATCTTAAATACAAGTCCAGATATTTGAGAATGAAGGAGGTGGGTGTCACCTGTTTTCAGAGACAAAATTAGTGAGAAAATGGCCACCAAAGATTAGTTATTTCTTTAGCTTAAGAGTCCGTGGTAACTGAAAATTTACATCATTTGTGCCTTTAATCAACGTTTTTCAGAAAAAGAACACAGGAGTGAGTTCTTTAATGGACATGAAAGGTGTTGAGCCCAAAAACAAAAATTTGTTAAAAATTCACAAACCTGCGGAAAAATGCATGTTTCTTCACTTTGAATATTTTACCGAGAGCCTGATTCCACCACGCTGCCTCACATATTATATTATGGCATCTAGTTCATATCATGGCACCCCACGACATAATGTCACCCGATACATTCTTATCTCATCATCTCATTTATCTTCTCATTCATATTACCTCATCTCATATCGTATTCATTTATTTCATGTTTCATTCCCATATTATCTCTTTCATATTATGATCATGATCATGGCATCTCTTCTTCTCAACCTCAAGCATGAAATTATAATATCCGAGACAATGCACTATCCTGGCTGCAGCCCTTTGCTCTCAATCACCTGCTACCTTTAATAGAATTACTAAGTTCTATCTCACATTTCTGCCCGTTTTGAGTTACTATAAGACCATGAGGTCCGAAACCAAAACGATTCTATCCGCTCTATCAAAGTCGTAAGATTATTCGGAGTCGATATCAATATATTCAAAGAATTATTGCATTTTAAAAAGCTTAGCATAGTGAAACTCAAAATTTGTACATCAAATTTCTCAAAACTAGAGTCTAGGTGCTGAGCAGTTAGAACTTTGTAATTCTAGGGTAGTGAACCGTAAAAAACGTTGGTGCGAAGTGGGCGCACCATGGAAGTCCAAATGAGGGACTAAACAAAAGGAGTACCGGTATTGCTTTAGTCTCATGACCCTGGCATCTTTCCTCCCTTGTTTTTCATTTGTGAAACGTGCTGACAAAATGAGTTACTTCTTGGATTTGAGCCATATGGAAATAGATACATCACGCTTATAAGTTTTTAAAAAATACATAAGTATGAAATAATAACAGGCATATTACACTTAAAGAATATGGCATCAATAGAAAAATCTACAAATTTGGCCCTAGTGTTGATTTTTTTAAATATTTTTTTTGTTGCCAATATCTCCATTTGTAGATTGCGAGAAGTAACTCATTTTGTTAGCTCACCTCACATTTGGCTCCGAATTGCGTCAATTGTTGCGCTTCATAGTTCACCAAGCGTTATGTTAGAGTACACAATCTCGGATATCATAATAGGCTTACATTGTACGAGTCTTGGACCTCAGCTCCCTTGACCTGATCTGACCTGACCCCATCTCGTCTCGTCTCGTTCAGGCAACGTGGTCAATGTGGTGTGTGACTGTGGGGACAGGGCCTCTGGCAGGTACTGCACTGTCCCCGTTGACCCCTGCAAAAACTGCTTCAACGAGAGCTCTTGTAACAACACCCTGTCTGAAGATTACTGCCAGCCGTGTCCCAGCGGGTACGAAGGGGATGGTTTCGTATGCAGAGGTTGGTTTGTTTATACGTGAAGTTATTATTTTTCATAATAATAATAATAATAGTAGTTGTAATAATAATAATAATAATAACAATAATAACAATAATAATAAATGTCATTTATATAGCGTATTATATATTTCCTCAAAGAGGTCCTCAATGTGCTGTACAATAGTACAAAGAACGTATGCAGCGCACAGCTCCTATAGTAATCTTCTCTCTCTCTCTCTCTCTCTCTCTCTCTCTCTCTCTCTCTCTCTCTCTCTCTCTCTCTCTCTCTTCCTCTCTCTCTCTCTCTCTCTCTCTCTCTCTCTCTCTCTCTCTCTCTCTCTCTCTCTCCAGTACATCCTTGAGTAAAGACAATCCCACAAAACTTACCCTGACACCCTCGTACACATAGATGACATCACAAAGTCATAAATTGTTACAGAACAGGACAGCATGAGTAAACGATACTGAGAGAACATAATAACATTTGTATTGAGTATGTCGGAAATTACAGATTGAAGCTGGACTGAAACAGATGCGTTTTAAGTAGGGGGTTTCACGAAAAAAAATTTAAACGATTAATTTGACCAAAATATATGTCACCAGATAGAGCTAAAGGAGCTGAGAAAAAAAAAATTCATGAAGATTGGATAAACGGTTCAAAAGTTATGCAAGTTTTTTGTTGTGAATTTGGGCATTTTTTCGGGGATAATTAATTACTTACGTATATAGACAAGAGGATGGCACCAAAATGTGCGAAATGAGGCATGAGAAAGACAACTTGGCAAAGTAATGTCACACATTTCTCCCCCCATTGAACTAACATGGCAACAAAAAGCACATATAGACCTCTCGTTTTATGTTGGTTTTATGATGCTAGGCTAAGAACTAATAAAGTTATGAGCCGAGAAAGAGAAAAAAACCCGGGAATTTAGCGGAAATCCCCACTCGCCGGGCGAGCGTGAAACCCCCTATTTTGAGTGCTGATTTGAATTTTGTTAAAGTGGTAGACTCCTGTAGATTAGCTGGCAAAGCTTTCCACAGAGAGGGGGCGTGGTGTGCAAAAGTTCTCCCTCCGAGTCTCTGACTTTTGCTTTGGACAGGTCTTAAAAGGCTTTCCTCCGCCCGATCTTCAAGGCCGAGATGGTATATATTCGATGACCATGTCACAAAGATAATATGATGGTGCAATGTTGTTGATGGACTTAAAACAAAGCACAATTATATTGTACTGAATTCGTGCTTTCGCGGGGAGCCCAAGTAGTTGAATTAGCATTGATGTTACATGCTCTTTGAGAGATTTCTTTAAAAGTATGCGACCAGCTTGGTTCTGGAGTCGCTGTAACCTATTTAACGTTTCAGTGGGAAGGTTTCCAAACAAAGAATTGCAGTAGTCTAGAAGTGAAAGGACAAAACAAGAATTTAGAATTGTTTTGCTTTGATGTTTAAAAAAGTATTTAGTGTGTGTTTTCTAAATGTGCTCCCTGTTGTTGTTGCCGGCGTCTGTGGTGTTAGTGGTGTAGCAGTTAGGAGATTCACCGTTGCACACAGGAGACATGAGTTCGATTCCAGTGTGGGAGGAATTTTTATCAAGTATTTCCGTCTTACTGCTGGGAGGTTGTATTGCCAGAGTTGGTCCCGACAGGCAAGCTCGAAGCAGCCAGCCTCTTAAATGATCTAAATAGTGTCTATACTCACTTACTTACTTACTTACTTACTTACTTATTTACTTACTTACTTACTTACTTACTTACTTACTTACTTACTTACTTACTTACTTACTGACTCTCTATCTATCTATCTGTCTCTCTTTGTCTGACTCTCTCTCTCCATCTCCCTCTCTCTCTCTCTCTCTCTCTCTCTCTCGCTCGCTCTCTCTCTCTCTCTCGCTCTCTCTCTCTCTCTCTCTCTCTCTCTCTCTGTCTTTCTGTATAGTCAAGTACACAAGGAAAAAGCAGTTAGCGCCATTCTTGTCCCACCTCGCGACTCCCTTCAGCTTTGGCATGTCCATTCATCCCCTGCCTATGGAGGCTTACAACTTGTATAATTATATTACTACAACGCCCTGCAGTTGACGGCAATTCTCAAAGTGTGCTTTAGCGTCACTGTGGTGTCTAAGGGTATTCTCTTTTATCTCCAATCTTCGGTGCTAGCGAGTCCGTCGAGTATTGATCATTGGTGTGGGTGATCTTCGCGACTCCTGACTGAAAAGCAAAATTGTCTCAAATTCCTATCTTACCAACGTTTAGGAAATGAAACGCTAAAACGATTGCGTGGTTGGTTTGGTTGGCGGGTGCTCTGATGTGATTTGCTCCTTCTTTCCTATCAAACAGTTATTGTGGCATCGGTGGCCTAGTGGTTAGTCTCTCGGACTCGCAACCGTAAGGTCGTGGGTTCAAATCCCGTCAGGGGCCCGACGTTGTGTCCTTGGGAAAGGCACTTTACACGAATTTTCCTCACTTCACCCAGGTGGGAATGGGTACCCGGCTATAGACAGCGAAAGATCTTGTCAGTTTGTTAGTCTTTGAACGCTTAATCAGCTGCTTGCACTGTATGCTTCCCGGGAAGCTGAGAATGTTTCGGAATGTTCTGTGGTCTGCTGGGGTAATAATATAGTGTAAAGCGCATAGAGCCTGCAGTTGAGCGGGGATATGCGCTATACAAATGCTATTTATTATTATTATTATTATTATTATTATTATTATTATTATTATTATTGTTATTATTGTCCTTATCTCTCCTCCTCCTTCTTTCCTGTGTTTGTTACTCTCTTGTAACACCTCTAATCTTCGGCTCTTAAATAACATCATTGTGTCGCAAGGGCTGTAAAACGCTTACTTTAAAACAGCAACAAAAAGATTACATTACGTGCCTCGCTGAGATTTACAGTATTTGCCGATACCTGTACTGCTAGCATTGAGAAACACAATGAAAAATTAGAAACTCGCATGGGGTAATTAATATTGTAAATTGTAGAAAGCCGTTATTGCAATAGCCGTTTTCTTCAAACAATTGTAGAGTAATAAAGAATGGGAGGGGGATGGCACTAGTCACAATTTGCTATTTTTGCCTTTGTCCGTTTTGATCTTTTATTTGGTTTGTTCCTTGTACATGTAGTTCATCAACACTATTGTTATCAGACACGGTCAAAGTCCCTTTTTTGTGACATTATGTTTAAAATAATCAGATCATCCCCGGGAAGAACAATAGCAGTCTGTATGAACGCGTGAAAATCCTGAAAAATAGAAACATCTCAATAAACACCAAAATGAAAGTCCTGAAATGCTATGTTTGGTCAACCCTTCTATATGGCTGTGAATGCTGGACAATTACTAAAGACATGGAAAATAAAATAGAAGCAACAGAAATGTGGTTTCTTAGGAGACTGCTAAGAGTATCAATGACGGAAAAGAAATCAAATGAGGTAGTGCTTGATGAAGCCCACGTGGGACGCTCAATGTTAAAAACAATCAGGAAACGACAAATGCAGTTTTTGGGACACCTGTATAGACATTGGGGTCTTGAACATCTAGCTCTCACTGGAAAAATTGAGGGCAAGCGAGGCAGGGTAGACCCAGAACAACATACTTAGGGAACCTCAACAAATCGGTAACAGGAAAAGATCAGGGAAACGTAGCTTTTTTGAGAGCATCCGAGCAAAGGAATGAATGGAAAACCATGATTGCCGATGTCTGTCGCAGATCTGGCAATGGATGATGATGAACGTTTGAAAAAAATTTAGGCAGTTGTTCCCGAAAGGTTTTGAAGTGAACACATTCACACCAAAATGAAACTCCATTTTCAGGCGCAGCAATCTTTCCTTCTGATCCGGAATACCTTGGGGTCGTTTTCATTTTGAAGAAACAGGTTTCTCGCCCAGTCCAGTTTAAGACATGTTATGTTGGAGTCTGGTTTTTTCTGGGGACAGGAGTCTGTAGCGTAATAATGTGGTTCTTCCATGGTTCATGCACAAGGCGTGAGTTTGATTCCAATGTGGGGAGGTCGTTCGAAGAAGGTCTTTTTCTGTCGGCTGTGTTGCTTTATCCCTCTTTGCCAGGGTTGACCCGTGACTAACAGGTTAAAAGCAGCCCGCCTCTTATATACATATAATTCTAAAAAAACGTGGGTGCTTGGCGGGTGCTCAGGTGTGGTTTGCTCCTTCTTTCTTGTCAAATATCAGAAGGCGTGAAGTCGATTCCAATGTAGGGAAGTCATTAAAATTTGAGGAAGTGGAGGCCCTTGTGGTCTTGAGGTCATTGTGTTCTCCTCTCATTCAATAGGTCCGGGGTCCGAAACCTGACAGTGACGGACAACTTTCTTCACTTTCAGCCCCTACCCCCACCCACCTTTGCCCCCTTCTCTGGGCTCCTGACTCTTTCCGCAGCGTTTCTACCTCTCCTCCCTGACTCCTTCTTACTGCTGTCTTTCAGCCACACCTCTGATCTTATGATAGGTAAGATCTAACACCTAGCCTTCTTGTATAAGGGCGAGAAAATCTCGGAGGTCCCCTGTGCAAGTTGCGCACGTTAAAGATCCCTTGGTGGTCCTTAAATTTGAAAGAGTAAGCTTCTGTCGCAATCTGTGCAACATTCAAAATAACCCACCGCACTGAAAATGCATAATGTTTCCAGCTCATATGACCTTTATGCAGTTGCGAGAGCCGTAAAACACATACCAAAACAAAAAATACCCATTCATACAAAAAAATGTAACACTATTTTCAGTGGCAGCAATCCCACCTTCAGTTCCGGAATATTTTGGGATCGTTTTCATTATGAAGACACAGATTTCTCGCCCAGTCCAGTTTAAGACATGTTATGTTGGAGTCTTGTTTCCGTGGACTGGAGTCAGTGGCGTAATACGAGAGGGGGGGGTCAAAAAGTAATGCAAGTTCGCTTATAACTTAAAGAAAAAAGAACGCACTGGCAACTATCATATCTCAAATTGAAGGGGAACATCTGAGGATCAGATTTCTATTTCTCAACATTAGTCTCCATTATTTTCAATAGCCACTGTCCACCTTTTACTAAGTGCACATATGCCAGCTTTGTAAAACTGAGCAGGTTGGCCTTGGGGGTACATCAGTCTTGATTTCTTTCAATTGTTTTTTTCTAGAACCGAAAAGGTTGAAGTGTGAAGGAGCCAAATGAGGAGAATAAGCTGGGTGTGACAGTGTTTTCCACCCAGACGGAAACTTAAATTTTAACAGTTTGAGTTCAAAAGTACATGTGCAAGTACCTGTGATCTGAATTTCATTTATTTTGATGCAATATTGCGCACAATGGCCAACAACTTGCATTACTTTTTGACTCTCCCTTGTAATTTGGTTCTTCCATGGTTCATGCAGAAGGCATGAGTTCGATTCTAGTGTAGGGAGGTCGTTCGAAGAAGGTCTTTTTCTGTCCTATGTTGATGTGTACCCTCTTTGACAGGGTTGACCCGTGGCAAACAGGTTAAAAGCATTCTATGTGTGTAAATTGAGGCGGAAAAAAAACGTGGGTGCTTGGCGGGTGCTCTGGTGTGGTTTGCTCCTTCTTTCTTGTCAAATATCTATCATCTTTATCTCTGCTCCTTCTTTTTTGTGTATGTTACTCTCTTGTAACTCTTAATCTATTCTTCGGCACTTATATGACCTTATTGTGTTGCAAGTGCCGTAAAACTCTTACGAAAAAAAAGAAAAAACTTTTGTCTGAGGCAGATATCAACGAGTGCCTTGACAACAGCACCTGTGAGCACAACTGCAATAACACAGACGGCTCCTATGAGTGCTCTTGTAACACGGGCTACACGCTGCAAGGAAGCAAGTGTATAGGTGAGTGTGTCTCTCTCTGTCTCTGTCTGTCTTTCCGTCTGTCTGTCTGTCTTTCTGTGTATCTCTCTCTGTATCACTCTCCGTCTCTGGCTGTCTCTGTCTCTCGGTCTCTCTCTCTCTCTCTCTCTCTCTCTCTCTCTCTCTCTCTCTCTCTCTTTCTCTCTCTCTCTCTCTGTCTCTCTCTCTCTCAATCTCCCAGTCTCTGTATCTCTCTCTCTTTCTCTCTCTCTCTGTCTCTCTCTATCTATCTATCTTATCTGTCTGTCAGTCTCTCTCTTTCTCCCTGACCCTCTCTCTCTCTCTCTCTCTTTCTCTCTCTCTCTCTCTCTCTCTCTCTCTCTCTCTCTCTCTCTCTCTCTCTGTGTCTTTCTCTTTTTGTATCTATCTCTATCTCTCTCTGTATCTGGAGATCTCTTTCTCTCTCTCTTTCTTTCTCTGTCTCAGATTTGACTGTCAGCTAGCACGCAGTCTAGTGTGGTCTGCCTCTTTTATTTCTCCTCTTTGTTGCTATTGTTCTAATCTTTTCTTTACGAAATGTGTGACTATTTGTGGATTTTTTTTTTACTGGCGTGGCTAAATGTCTGAAATAGTGTGATCGTTTTTATTTATTATTTGTGTTCACAAGATAAACATGCTGGTGGGTGGTTGGAGGATGTCATTGGGAGTTCCTACGTCTGCACTCTCCTCCCTCACTTATTAAATTTGTCTGTCGGTCTTGCTCTTTCTCCTCACTCTAACCCTACAGGTGGTGGGAAGGCGCCGCTGGTAGGTCTTACTTTTCTTTTTCTTTTCTTTCTTTCACTTCGGCCTGGTGTCTTACTTTTTCTCAACACTAAATGACCGCTATTGTATCAGTGGGCCTCTCTTTACTCAACAAACAAACAAACAAACAAACAAACAAACAAACAAACATTAACTCTAAACGACTGGGTTTGTTTTTGGGGGGTTTTGTTGTTGTTTTTTGGTGTTTTTTTGTGTCCTTGTGCCTCTCTTTACTGCTAGAAAATGACAGCGAGGAACAAACAGTCCCCGAGTACGTTTGAAGTCAACATTTTGTTTTATTTCTCTCTGCAGATGACAACGAGTGTCTTGATGACTCGTGTGGCGCGGACTCTTACTGCGTCAACACTCCCGGCTCATTCAGTTGTCAGTGTTACCCTGGACTTATCCAATCAGGGCCAGATACTTGTGTAAAATGTGAGTTCTTTTATATACTGCTGCTGTGTCGAAAGAAACGTTCCCTGGTGAAAAGAAATAAAAAACGTTTTCAGAGTTTGCTACTCTGTAATTATAAAGTTCTATAATTAGTGCCTTACGTTGAGAAATTTGACGTAAAACATAGTTTCACCACACCTCAAGCTTTTTCGAAAGCAATTTTTTGAATATCTTGATAATGACTCGGAATAATCTTACGATTTTTGTAAAGCAGTTAGAACATTTGATTTCTGATCTCATGGCCTTAATAACTCACAACGGCCAAAAAGAATGTCAGATAGAACTTTGTGATTCTGAGACAGCGAGTTGTCAATGTTACCCAGGACTCATCGGAAAAGCGACAATTATGTTTGTCAGAAATGTCAGTTCTTTTATACTGCTGTTGTGTGAAAGGAAACATTCCGTAGTGACCAAGAAAAAAACGCTGATGCAACTGTCAACGTTAGTCAAGACTCGCCCAAAAAGCACCAAATATTTGTGAGAAACATGTGTTGTTTTTTTAAGGAAACATTCAGCTACTAAAACAAAGATTAAAAATAGTGTTTGGATTTGTTTGTCTGTATGAGAAAAGAGAAGCACATCGACACAATAACGATTATTTAATGCTGAGGAAAGGTAAGACAGACAGACAGAAACAATAGAAAGAAAAGTAAAGCAGTAGGGCCTACAAGTGGCGCCGTCCAACCGCCCGCTGTATGAGGGTGTATGTGTATGAGAGTATATATATTATATATTATATACTATATATTATTAGTGTTGAGGAGTATGTACCTTGGATGTGTGTGTGTGTTTGTGTGTGTGTGTGTGTGTGTGTGTGTGTGTGTGTGTGTGTGTGTGTGTGTGTGTGTGTGGCGCGCTTTTGTGTTTTGAGTGAGAAATTGAAAGAAAGAGATTACGTCTCATTTATCTTTTGCAGTGAAGGAAATTTATAACGGCTCTCTGGTCTTCACAAGCATCAATGATCAAAAATGGTCGGATGATCTCAAAGATGACAAGTCTGAGGCGTTTAGTAAATTGGCAACTAAAGTGGAGACCGCCGTGAGTTGATCCCCTCTGGATGTCCATCTTTGTCTCTGATTACTTTTGCTTTTGTTTTGTCTGTGTTGAATTTTGGGAATTGTTTTTTGTTTGTATTTGTCTGTGGTTGTTTTTGTTTTTGTTCGTGGCTTTTTTTTTACGTTTTTATTTTCCTTTTTTTTTTAAATTATGGCCAATGACCATCATTGTTTTGGTTTGCATTTTTGGTTGTTGTTGTTGTTTTTCAAATTATATTTTAAAAGTCAGAATCAGTTCTCTTAAATGTGATAGTCCTATCAGATCACGAAGGGCCAAAAGATGTGGAAAAAGCGAACTTGTATAGGTTTAAAGCCCCTTGCAACACGAAAGTTATTTAGGCGGAACTTTTGAATTAAACGCCCATCTCCATCAGGACCAAGTGAAAGTACGGGAAAGTTTGCATAAAGTGTCTTTCTCAAAGACAAGATAGGGTCAGAGGTGATGTCATCTAATTAGATCATAAAAGTTCCAAAGAGATATTGTTATATTTTCTTGTCTCATCCAAAAGACGTAGACCTACAGGATGATCTTGCGGGTCTTCGGGTGAAAAGTAATATTTAGTCCGAACATATTGACTTGAGGGTAAAAGTTTACTTTAGCCCTCCATTTCCGAACTCACGTGGCCTAGTATGCACGTCCTGGGTCTCCACCCTCCTTGTGGCCATATTTGGGTCGCCATGACATCATGAAAGAAAACATTAACTCTTATTAACTTGTTCTAAGAATGGGCGGTCGGAATTTACAATTACCTCTAATGCTACGCCATGGTATATCATTTTCCAACCCCTCTCGCGGATGGGTGGTTGGAGGGTGCATTGATATGGTTTATTCTTTCTTTCCCAGCAAACGTCTATCCTCCTTATCTCTCCTCTTTGTATATATTTTATTTAAATAATTTTTGGTAGGATACTCTCCAGTAATATCTCTTATCTTCGGCTCTTTTTCTGTGATGATCTATGTTTCAAGTGCCCGCAAAACTCGAACAAAAATTAAACTAAACTAACCCTGCTCGCAGGTGGTTGGAGGACACCACTGGTAGGTCCTACTTCTTTACTTTCCCTTTGTTGTTTCTGTCTGTCTGTCTGTCTGTCTGTCTGTCTGCCTGTCTGTCTGTCTATCTGTCTGTCTGTCTGTCTGTCTGTCTGTCTGTCTGTCTGTCTGTCTGTCTGTCTGTCTTACTTTTTCCCAGCATTAACTGACCATTATTGTGTCAATGTTCTTCTCTTTACTCAAACAACCAAACAAAACAGATCAAGACGTCAGTCAACCAATCAGCGTTTAAAGAATTGGTTCCAAAGGTCATCAGCTTCACACAGGTGCCCGCAGCCGCGCAGTAAGTTCCCCTCTTTGTATAACGAGTACATAATAATAATAATATATCAATTTATTATGTCGGTAAAATTCACCAAACAATTTGTGAGGCAGCGTGATGGAATCAGGCTCTCGTCAATTTTTGGGCATGAAGAGTTATTGGTGTCATCTTAAAGCTGGTACATTTGTCTTTATTTGGATGAAAATAGTATCCATTTATCTTGAATACAAGTCGAGATATTTGCGAATGAAGGAGGTGGGGGGTCACTTGTTTTCAGAGATAAAATTAGTAAGAAAATGGAACCCAAAGATTAGTTATTTCCTTAGCTTAAGAATCCATGGTAACTGAAAATTTACATTTTGTGTGCCTTTAATCAACGTTTTTCAGGAAAATCCACACAAAATGAGTTATTTAATGGGCATGAAAGGTGTTGAGTCAAAAACCAAAAATTGGATAACAATTCACAAACCTGTGGAAAAATGCAAGTTTCTTCACTTTGATTATTTTGACAAGAGCCTGATTCCACCACGCTGCCTCACATTTTTCTTTGAAACTTTTTCTTTGGAACTTTTTCTTTGAAACTTATCAAAGAGTAAATCGCTACCTCAGAATTACAAAGTACTTACTACCTGCTCAATATCTAGTTTTTGAGAAATTTGACATCAAAGATGTTATTTCACAGTATGTCAAACATTTTCGAATGCTATTCTTTGAATACCTTGATAACCACTCTGAATATATCCTTACGATTTTAATGGAGTAGATAGAACGTTTAGTTTCTGACGTCGTGGTCTTAGTAACTCAAAACGGCCAACATTGTCGAAAAAGAGCTTTATAATTCTAAGGTAGCGCAATGCTACTGTATGAAAGTTTGTAATAAGCACAAGTATGGGGAAATTTGAGCAACAAGTAAGAAAGCCTTTGGGAGAATATAGTTCACTTTGTTTATTTTCAAGATGACTGCCGTTTCCATAGCAACTGTAGTAAGCACGCTAAGAGTTTTGGTAAAGATGTCACTTTATCTAAGTCGTATTATATTATGTATACAGATTTTATCTAACTTATTCTGATTTAATGGAGGTCTTTTGCGCCCCCATACACACAATTAAAATCATTTTGAGGCGGGCCTTTTCAGAACATCAAAGCAAAGGAATCAACGGCAAACCATGATCGCCAATGTTTGTCCCAGATCTAGTAGCCTATTTGCTCATGTCTGTTCATCCTTTAAAAAGCGAAAAAAACAAACAAAGGTGAAAGTCTAAATCAGGGTGTACTGCTTGCACGACCGCATAATTCGTTATCTCTGCTCAACCAATTCATGTGGGTGGTTGGCAGGTGTTCTTGTGTGGTTTGTTCTTTTTTTCCTATCAGGCATCAATTATTTTCATCTATCCTCGTTCTTTTCTTTGTATGTTACTCTCTAGTAACACCTTTAATCTTTGGCACTTATATGACCTATTTGCGTTGCAAGTGCCGTAAAACTCTTACTAAAATGTAGCAAAACAAATACTTCATAATAATAGATTACATTTATATAGCGCTCTATCTCATAGGAGTATAAGCTCTGGGATGGCATGATCACTGAGCGTAATTGTTTATTCACACAATATAAAAACATTTCACATTAACAAGAAAACCAGCTGAACCACCCCATCGAAATATTTGTTCCACCATACATATATTATATACACGTAAGCACAGCCGTGAAAGCATGACATATCAGCCCCTCGACACCTTAGAAGAACATATTTGTTGTTTTGTTTTGAATTACAAAGTTTTATCCGCTCAGCATTTAGTTATGAGAAATTTGATGTAAAAAAATTTGAGTTAAGAAAAAAGGTCAAGCTTTTTCTAACGCAGTTCTTTGAATATCTTGGTAACGACCCCGAATAATCTTAAGATTATGATAGGACAGATAGAACATTTGGTTCCTGACTTCATGGTCTTAGTTACTGAAACCTGCCAAAAATATCAGACAGAACTTAATAATTCTAAGATATCGACCTACTAACACACTACAATTAAGACGTTAACAAATAACTACTTACCAGTTGTGGTAGCCATCTCCAGTTGGGGGTATGGCAACACTTAGATGTGAAACAAATCCAAAAACGTTATAAGAGTGAAGAAACATATGTATTCACTTATTTATTAATGTATTTATCTATATGTAAAACATTTTCCTGTGTGTTTACTCTAAGACTGACAGCTATTTCAAAACCCAAAATGTAGCACACTTTGTTGTTATTACTAAATACAAAAGCGCCAGATGATAGAATTGGGCTGGGTCCCAAAAAAAAAGACGTAAACAATACACAAGACTTGAGCAATCGCTTAAACGTATTGCTTAAACAAACACACGAACAATATCTCAGGGTGGGTGGTTGGCGGGTGCTCTGGTGTGATTTGCTTCTTCTTTCCTATCAAACATCTATCGTCTTTCTCTCCCCTTTTTCTTTTTTTATGTTTGTTACTCGCTTGTAACACATCTAATCTTCTGGCGCTCATATGACCTTATGCAGTTGCGAGTGCCGTAAAACCTTTACTAAAAAAAAAAAAATATCTCAGGTCAAACAGAACGAAGCGTGACGCTGATCCTGTGAGCCCGGACTCTATACGTGCTGACTTCCTGGTCTACAGCGGTGAAGACCCTATAACAACTACGAACATAGACAATGCACTCATCAAGGGCATTCCAAGCACTTGTACGAACAACTGTGGCTACAACGGCTTGGTAGGCGTCACAACCAAACCTTCTGTGGACGACAGTGGTAAGGTGGCGAGAGGTGGTACTGTGTTTCCTTTGGTATCTGTTTCATTAGTTCTGGAGGTTTTACGTAACTGAGATGCAGAACGAATGTCTGGTGGCTGGTGGCAGGTGTTGTTTGCTACTTCTTTCCTGTTGTACATCTGTCGTCCTTATCTCTCCTCTTTGTTGGTTGGTTGGGTGGTTGGTTGAAGGGTGTTCTAGTGGGGTTTGCTCCTTTTTTCTTGTCAAACATCTGATGTCCTTGTCTCTCCTCTTTGATGGTTGGTTGGGTGGTTGGTTGAAGGGTGTTCTAGTGGGGTTTGCTCCTTCTTTCTTGTCAAACATCTGATGTCCTTATCTCTCCTCTTTGATGGTTGGTTGGGTGGTTGGTTGAAGGGTGTTCTAGTGGGGTTTGCTCCTTCTTTCTTGTCAAACATCTGATGTCCTTGTCTCTCCTCTTTGTTGGTTGGTTGGGTGGTTGGTTGAAGGGTGTTCTAGTGGGGTTTGCTCCTTCTTTCCTGTTGTACATCTGTCGTCCTTATCTCTCCTCTTTGTTGGTTGGTTGGGTGGTTGGTTGAAGGGTGTTCTAGTGGGGTTTGCTCCTTCTTTCCTGTTGTACATCTGTCGTCCTTATCTCTCCTCTTTGTTGGTTGGTTGGGTGGTTGGTTGAAGGGTGTTCTAGTGGGGTTTGCTCCTTCTTTCCTGTTGTACATCTGTCGTCCTTATCTCTCCTCTTTGTTGGTTGGTTGGGTGGTTGGTTGAAGGGTGTTCTAGTGGGGTTTGCTCCTTCTTTCTTGTCAAACATCTGATGTCCTTGTCTCTCCTCCTTCTCTCAAGTAACACAAACAACTTATCTTCGACTCTCATGTGACCTAGTTACGTTGTAAGTGCCATAAAACTTTTATTGAAAATCAACATTAAAAAGTAATGTCTGGATCTACGAGTAATATGTTAAAGTAGGAATGTAAACCTGATTGGCAGCAAACCATAGGCAATATTCAAGTATATTTCGAACCCTATGCACAAATCTAAAAACGAATTTGCATATCCCCCCTCTCTCTCTCTCTCTCTCTCTCTCTCTCTCTCTCTCTCTCTCTCTCTCTCTCTCTCA